TATGCTATGTAATAGTTGTAGGAGAGGCTGAGGAAGCTAAAAATGCCTACAACTCAAATTCCATGATTTTGAGCCGAATTTTGATTTTGGGGGTGTAGCCCCCCCCCCCTTTAAAGCATGCGGGTGGTTGGAGGGCGCCACTAACCAAGTAGGTCCTACTTCTATACTTTCCCCAAGTTCTTTCTGTCTTCCTGTTTTACTTATTCACAGCATCAAATGGCCATTATTGTGTCTATGTGCTTCTCTTTACTCAAACAAACAGACAAATAAACAAACAGACAAACAGACAAACAGACAAACAAACAAACAGACAAACAGACAAACAGACAACCAACCAAACAAACAAAGAAACAAACAAGCAAGCAAACAAACAAGCAAGCAAACAAACAAACAAACACAACCATTACGCAAGCATTACTTTACAGCAAAATGACCTTACCTCTTTAAGGAGAGGGGCCCGTTCTTTTCCCAGGAAAAGTCAGCCTCTGAGATTCTCACTGGAAGCTCTGGAAAACAACAAAGAAACAATTCCCATTGCAAGGTATGATAATATGTGAGGCAGAGTGGGGAGTGGGGGAATCAGGCTCTCGTCAATGTTTGGGCATGTAGAGTTATTGGCGTCATCTTAAAGCTTGTTCACTTGTCTTTATTTGGATGAAACAAATATCCATTTATCTTGAATGCAAGTTGAGATATTTGCGAAAGAAGGAGGTGGGGGTCACCTGTTTTCAGAGGTAAAATTTGTGAAAAAATGGCCGCCAAAGATTAGTTATTTCCTTAGCTGAAGAGTCCGTGGTAACAGAACATTTACATTTTTTATGCCTTTAATCAACTTTTTTCAGAAAAATCCACACAGAAATGAGTTTTTTAATGGGCATGAAAGGTGTTGAGCATTTTAAAAAAAGCTGATAAAAATTCACAAACCTGCGGAAAAATGCAAGTTTCTTCACTTTGATTATTTTGACGAGAGCCTGATTCCACTACGCTGCCTCACATATAGTACAAACGCACACTTGAAGGGTAATCTACTATCATTCAAGTGGATGGAAGGTGGGTGCTCTGTTGTCGCTTGCTCCTCCATTCCTAACAAATAACTATCGTCATTATCTCTCATCCTTCTTTTCTTTGCATGCTACTCTCTAGAAACACCTCTGAATTCTTCTGCACTGATTTGACGTAAAAGTGTGAAATGTACTAGTGCCGAAAAACACTTGCTAAATCTCGCCCTGTCTCTCTTTCTCTCTCTGTCTCTCTTTCTGTCGCTCTCTGTCCGTCTGTCTGTCTGTCTGTCTGTCTTTATCTATCTATCTATCCATCTGTCTGTCTGTCTTTCTATCTATCTCTCTATCTATACATTTTAATCTTTCTTTGCAAAGGGGGCTCTCGTGGCCTAGAGGTTAAGGTGTTGGCCTCTCATTCAAAGGTCCCGGGTTCGAATCCGGGTAGCGACCGAAAAATTTTCTTCTCTAAATTTGTCTCCTTTCACCTCATTTCCTGCTCTCTAGCAATGTTCTGTCGTCTGCTTTCGTCTCCTCTTTCTGCCCCCACCCCCTCACCTACTTTGCCCCTT